TTGTGAGCATGTGACTATGCGAACTCTTTGCAGCAAGAAACATAATACAGCATCTTCCCTTCATTCCTTATCATTTAACATATTACAGGAGCTAGTGCTCTTTGGAGGACAACATGGGCAAGCTCGCATGGGAGCCTGTCAGTAGTGCTATGCCATCTCCAGTAATTTCATTGTCTTGCTGTCTGATGGCATTTGAGCTACACAAGGTGCTCAATAGTGTGAAGAGAATAAGAATGTTCCTCAGTAGCAAGTGAACTAACTTCATTAGCAAAATGTACAGTACAAGAAAAAGTACTTCTGAGGCATTCAGATTTTATTTTGGGTGACCCTTGAATGCCCCTCACTTCACAAAAAGCATTCGTAACTCCCTTCTCTACAACATTTATTCTAACGCTTATAGGGGATGGAGTCACTGAGACAAATGGAAGTACAGAACATTTATGCATCGACTCTCCTAATTCCTCTTGATAGTATTATATGTATAATCCTAATTCATATGTTACACTAGAATGAGTTAGATAAGCTTAAAAAAATTAAAGGAGTCATTTGTTTATGGTTAATACAATCCAAACTAAAACTGATGGAATGGTAAATTGATCCTACAATCCAGTGGGATTTTGTGTGAACGCATTTGTAGTAATGGTCTGCTTTCAGCTCACCCTCTGCCCAGCTTTAGTGGAGGAGTTCCAGGGACAGGCACGTGCATCAAAGTGTTCAACAGGACACCACATGTGTTCTGAGTGGGGAATCTGGGGGATCTGCTGAATGTTTGAATGGCTGAACTCAAAGTGTTGTTCTTCAGAAACACCTCACAGACAATAAACACAACATTTGGGTTTTTACTCCATACTCTTCCATGCAGGCTGCCATATAAACAATGCCACCAGAAACAGATGCTTTCAGTAATTATAAATTTATAACAACATACAAGATTTTTAACTGCTGGTGAAGTTTCCTCACTTGTATATAGAGTTCCAGTGGCCACAAAATTTATGCTTTGAAAAGCTCAGAGGAGTTACAAAACACTCTGCTCCTTTTTGATCTCGAGTTCAACATCATGCTTTGTTAATCTCCTTGTTTACTAAGGGGGATATAGATAAGCTATAAAATAGCCCTCAGTAAGTATTACAGCTGCCAAGTAGCTGCACACATTTTAGATGTGTCCTGAGGCACCAACCTAAAGGTCACTAACCCCTACCAGAATTGTATTTCAGGAAAATCATACATCATGGATTTTCCTTTTTCCCATTCAAGCTTGGCCTAGACAGTATTATGGCCTTGATTTCACAGCAAATAGATGTTTAGTGCACACTGAGTTGTCTGTAACTCCTGATGTTACTCTATCAATCAAGACAGCAAACATTTGGTCTTTCATATTTACATGGGCATAAGCAAGCCAACTGCATGTAAGTAGAAGATCTACCTGACACTACCTTTCACCAAATTGCTGTGATGCCTGTACTACACTCTGAAAATGCAAATCACTAGGACTCCAGTTTAAAAATCTTTATAAAGTTTCTTAAATAGATATTTTAGGCATTTAATCTGATCTACAGAAATTGTATTTTTCCCAACTTACTCCTTTAGACCATTAAACCTGCACAGTAAAGTGGTGTCCCAATCACTTTGCTCAAGGAAATGCTAGCTAAGATTAGCATACCAAGAAAGATATTCATATCATGCACATTTAGTTTGAATTGTATTCTGTAATGATAAAAGCTATTTTTGGTACAAACAGATGAGCTTGACAAGATTCAGTGTTCAGTTGTAAGAAAAAAAATCTATACATGTCCACAGCTGCTAATTAATGAAAGCATACCAAAATGCAAAGACTAAAGTCTGCATTGACAAACATATCAAAGTAGGTTGTTGAGAAGAAAATGATCGGACTGCTGTGTCCCTGCTGAAGGGCTACGATTCTTCTTCCAGCTTCTGGCAGTTTGAGCAGTTTCATACCCAGCTCTATCAAATAAGAACTTGGAAAACAAATTCTGAACCTGTCAGCAATGCCATGCTTCAGTGAACATTCTTCTATGCACTACTCCATCTTAGTTTTTCAAAGCCAAATCTTCTCCTTGTAAATAAATTATTTTGTTTAAATAAGCAAAGTCTGCAAACAGAAAATGACTGGACACTACAGCTGCAACGAAATCTGAACTACACTGAAATCAGAGACTTAGTACTGACTCTGACTGAGGCTGTATCAGATATATATACATATACACACACACCCCACATGTTCCCTCTCATCTGGAATTTCATAGAAACACTAAGATTGGAAAAGATCTCTAAAACCATCCAGTCCAAGCATCAACCCATCACCACCATACCCACTAACCACGTTCTTCAGTGACACATCTCCACGTTTATTGAACACCTTCAGTTATGGCGATGCCACCACTTCCCTGCAAAGCCGGTTCCATTACCTCACCACTTTTTCTGATACGTTTTTCTTAATATCCAAACTGATCCTCCCCTGGAGCAACTTGAGCTTGTCACCACTCATCCTATCACTGTTATGTGGGAGAAGATGCTGACCCCCACCTCACTACAACCTCCTTTCAAGGAGTTGTAGAGAATGCTAAGGTCTCCCCTGAGCCTGCTCTTCTCCAAACCAAACCATCCCAGTTCCCTCAGCAGCTCCCCATAAGATCTGTGCTCCAGACCTGTCACAGCTCCACTGCCCTTCTCCACTCATGCTCCAGGCACAGCCTTTCCCTCATCCACCAGCTGTGTTGCTCGATTGCAGAAGGGGATGAGGTTGATCAGGCAGGACCCGCCTTTCATGAACCCATGCTGGCTGGGCCAGATCCTCTGGTTGTCCCACACACACCTTGTGATCTCACTCAAGATTATCTGCTTTTTTTTTTTTTTTTAATTCTATTTAGAATATGATTTCTAATATAAAACTGAATACACAAATAAACAATGTCTTATAGCTATTTCAAATCCTCAAAGTTTCTTCAACTCAATTCCCTGACAGTTCGGCAAGTGCTCAGCAGTCATTTACTCACGATGTTCTAAACTATTCACTCTAATTAGAGCCTGTTGAACTGTTTTTGCCTTAACTCACATTTTTCCATTCATTCCCAGCACAAGCTCAAAGGGGTGCAGTTGTGACAACTCCTGAATTATATCACATTTGAGATACAAAAGTTTTCTTAGACCTAGAGAAACTTTACAGAGGAAACTGTCTTGTCCTATTTAGGAACAGCCTTGAAGAATGGGAAATCCCTTCAAACAGAGCAAGGGAAGGGTATAAGAGTTTGGGGAAGACGACTAGCAGTTTCTTGAATATTTGAGGGTTTTTTCCCTTTATTTTTTATTAGTTGATTCATATGTTACTTGGAAGGTTTGCAACAGAAACTGGTAGTGTCCAGTACCAGTGACCAACACAGACTGCCCAGAGAAAAGTAGAACAGAGAAAATGTGATCGTACAAACCCTAGATAATGCCCACAGAGCCCAGCTGCCTGCAACTAAACTTTGGTTCAAGGAGGCTTATGTCTTTAAAGGAATAGCAATTAAGAGGGAACTGGTGAAATATGATTTTTTTCTAATCAGTTTTGAAACGCATGTAAAATTTTAGTGCCAACAAAGCACACAGCAAGAAGTGTAAATGTGGAAGGTTGAAGAGGGAAATAAACAGCTGGTCTCAGAAATACTGAGAAGTGACCTTTAATGCTAAATTTAAATGTCCATGTTCTCCCCAAACAGGAATGTTTGTTTTGTTGTTGTTTTTTTTTTTTAATTGCAGCAATTTAATTCAGTCATTTAAATAATGACTGAAGCAAAAAACCAAATCATCCGGTGCCTGCTGTTGGCAGGGGTGGGACTTATCCCTATTTTCTTAGCCAAAGGACTGAAGTCCACTACTTTTTCCCCCCGTATCTTCCATCAAGTTCCTCACTTAAAGGAACACAAGCAGGAAAGTTCTTCAACCCAGACTGATTCACCAGTGGTGCTGAAGATGCCTAAGATAAACACCTGACATCCAGCCTCAGCTCTTCCACCAGTTTCTGCACATCCTTTGGAAGTTGCTTAAGGTTTGCCCTTTGTTTTTATTTGGCTGTAGGATGACACTCTGTTTGCAAGTTACACTGAGATCTCTGTGCAGAAAGTGTTTTAAAGGTGAGAACTATATTGTGCAGACACTTCTTTACCCACCATCATTCATCTATAAAATGAAATGCATTTGTTAGGAACCAGTTTTCTTTAAATTAAAATTTTCCCATTAGCTTTCCTTTCTGACTCCTCGGTAGTGTTTATAATATAAGCATGATTTGAAGGATTTGTCTTGTCAAGTTGCTTTAAAAAGTGGAGCAGAGAAGATGAGAGTGATTGAAAGGTGGTACTGGGGAATGGATATGTGCAGGAGACATAACAGATATTTGCTGCAACAGCAATAGAAAAACAGACAAATAGCATACCTATTCCAAATTCTACTTTTCCTAACAAAGCAGTTACAACACCACTTGTAAAATATAAGCTCACATTAGTCCTTCTTACAACTCCTAATACTTTTCTATGACAAGAACGTCAAAAACAGCCCATCAGCCACACTGATCCTTCCAAGTACTCTAATCTGGCCTGCAAAGTCCATAGCACATTGTAATCCGGATCTGGCCTGCCAGTCAGCTGCAGGACCGCTTTCTCTCCCTCTCTCACAGCAGAGGAGCAGGGCTGAAGGAAAGAGACTGTGCTGACAATAACAAGGCTGAATCAAAGGGATTTTGCCCCACAGTTGCCACTTCAAAGGATGGACAAGCACAGAAGCTGAAAAGTTTAAATTGCATCAAATCTGGAACAGTATCTGAATGGCTGGTTAGCCCCAAGGTGGCTTGGGCAAGCAAGCTGGAATCCCTTGCTTGCCCAAGTTAATACATAGAAAGTACCAAGCAACAGAGATGAGGGAGACTGGAGGGACCTATGTCTGCTCCAGCAGCAAAGGATGAAGAGTCCTTACATGGTTCTTGACCATTAGTAGTGTTTGGCACTGACCTTGTCTCCATATTTGCACAACTTCATCTGGAGTAAAGCAAACCTGGACAGGGAGAGGACCAAGGTGCGTGTGAAACTAGTGAGAACTTGGTGGAACAGCATAAAGAACATTGTGACATCAGCTCTGCACACTCTTAGCAGGCTACGTGTGGGTGGCTTTTCCAGAAGGCTTTCCAACAGAGCCCTTCTGCCCAACATCCCTGATTCCCTGGGGAGGAGTAAGGGACAGCACTCCTGTGTTACATAGCAGCCAGGCCTCCTTCCCCACATAGCTTTACTGTGGAATAACTGACAATCAAGCCATTTAAAAATATATTAAAACTAAAAAAGATCCAGTGCCTTAATAAAACTCCTCACTTGATAGGAATTTCACAGCCCCTGATTAAGTGCAACGCTGCATGAACAAACATACTAGCAAAAGCTGTGCTAAGCAATAACATAATTGCTGTGGGAATAAGCACTTCCATCCTTGAAAGGGTGCCACTATACAGTGTTAATTGCCACTGGTACTTCTCTAAATTAGCAGCCTATTAATAGATTGCTGCTGAAGATAGTCACACTGGAAAGGCTTTGAAAGGAATCCTTGTACCTAGTGGCTATTTAGAGTCAGCATTCCCACTTCAGACACCTACACTTGTGATTTTTCAGTGGGTCTCAACAGATTAAGACCGCAGTGCTGATGCAGGAGCAGAGCTGCCCTTCGCAGCACAGAAGGAACCTGCAGGTTCTCACTTCTTTTGCATGGGGGTAACCCAAGGCTTACCTGAAAATAAACCCAAAGATCAAGTTTATTTTCAGCCAGATCAGTGAGCTTCCCTGCCCCACTTCAGAATAATCTTGCCACTAAAGCAATATGGATGAGGCTAAATCAGACTCTAAGGCAGAAGCTGAAGTGGGACCAACTACCTATCCCTCCCTGAGGTAACAGTTTTGCTGGAAGCAGAAACCAAAGCAATTGTTCCCACTGAAGGATCAACACAGAGGCCTTAAACACAGCAGAAAGTTTCAGGATCTAGCAATGCCATATTTCTACTTCCTAAGCACTTAACGATTTTCAACCCTTCTCCTCCTCACCACCATTTAGAGAATATAAAGCTGAGATTGAAAAAGCAGGAGTGAGTGAAGTCATCTGACTGTATCAGACCTTGATTTCATAAAATATGTCAGAGAGAGAGTGGGTTATAACTAACAATGGTTTTTTTTTTTCCTCCCATCTCTGTCCAAGATGCCTCCAGAGACGTCATTTGGATGCGGTTAAAAGAAATAAAATAGGTTGTCTCTCCATGGGCGAAGTAGGAAAAGTAGGTTTTCTTGTGTGGGTACTGCAAAAAGAACAAAGGCAGAATATCTGCTGAATCACCAGAGTCTATCCACTATGCTTAAGCAGCTCTAATTCTCCTGAATTTGCAGTACCCAGCAATCAAGCAATACTGGGGTGCTGAGAGTAATTTTAACTAACACTGCAGTGATGAAACAAAAGCAACAGCACTGCAAACTACCTCTTCCGGACAACATCTATGATTTCATTCAGCCTCAAGTGAATTTGTTGGCATGCAATAACAGCCACGACACGTATCTGCTGAAAGTCAGCACAGGGATCTTTCTGCTGATGGAGTCAAATGATTAATTCCATGATAATCACAATATGGAGGTCACTTTAAAAAACACATCAATCAAGAGAAAGCCCCCTGGTCTGCGTTTTTAAGATCAGAAATGAATACAAATAAGTTATGTGGTCAAGAAAACAGTTGATGGGGAGAGTAGAAAACAGAGGAAAGAACAATAGAGAGATCTGCCATTACTCAAGATTCCTGCATCTCTGTCCCAGTTTGGTCATTAAGAACTCTGTTCTCAACTCTGCACACTTTCAGGGCTGTTACTATTAGTTGTGTCAAACCACATTCATGCAGAAATGAAGATATAAATATTTGCTTTCTCCACACTGGAATCAGGGCTGAGACCTGGGCAGGCACACTAAAGCTTGACCTTAAATACTTCGGATAATGACAGCGAGCTCAGTTTAACTTTTATGTTAAGTATGTTGAGGACTTAAATTTGGATTAATTCTTCCAACATTATACATCTGAGCAGAATACCTAATTTGGGAGAACAGTCACTTTGCACACCCTCGACAGTAAATGCAGATAAGCAGACACCTCCAGAAAATTAGCAGATTGAGACTGAGTCATACTCTGGGGGTGTCTGTCTCTCTCCAACGAGATAAAGATAAATCCAAGGGTTTCAGTCCCAAACGGCACCTCAGTTACTACCTGAGCTACACCTGCGGTAAGGCAGGCAAGCGTGGGCTGTAATGCTCAGGGTGGAGGTGAGCTCACCCAGCAGCAGGAAAGGACTGTACTCTCTTCCCTTTATTTAACTGATACTGACATCTGAGCTGCCAGCTTAGGCTGACTTGGATGCAACTGCTATGGGGGTCTCAATGAGGAAATGCATTCTCTAAGATGAAGAACATAAAAAGCCGTATCGTCATTATGTCCTTATAACAGAGTTTCAAGAAGCATCAAAATATGCAGATTGCAAGACAAAGAAATCATTTTGAGAGAAATTCTTCATTATTTTTAGTTGCTACCGTCAGCAACTGCTCTGTACTGTTTCTTAGTATCTTAATTGCCTGTTTAATAGGTTTGTGCAAAAAAAACTATCACATGGGAAATGTTAGCAGAGATAAGGAAATACAGCTTTATCTTCAGGTACCAATCCCAGCCTGGAAGAGGCTAGTTTTTACTGCTCCATTGTGTTAATGAAAAAAAGCTGAATTTTGCTTATTGGTACTCCATGAGGAAGTTTTCCACCAGAGCTGGCCAGAACCCAACCAAAACCACCCACCCACCTTTGCAAATAGAGAAGCTCACATCAGGATTCCTGGGAGGGTTGATAACAAGAAATCAGACAAATAAATACCGCAACTTCATTTCTTTTTTTCCTCCACCTCCACCCCCTTCTTTCATAACACAGAAGATTACTACAGTAGGATCATTCCCAACATAATCATCTTATCACACAGACATCACAAACAAGGGAAAATTTAGTTGCTACAGGTTGCATTGGTGATATGCTTCTGATGCCAAAGCACTCAGAATCCCTCGGGTGAATAGCACACCTTACAAAGCAACATCAAAAAAGGGGAGACAAGCACCAAACACCAAAGTAAGCATACTGTTCCTGCTACAATCTGCTCTACAAGAACTCATTTCCATTCTTTCATAGACCTCTGCTTCAAAAGAACAACCACCCCTCTAAGGAAAATAAAATTGGCTCTCCCTAACTATCTTTACTCAGAACCAAAGGCTATATTTTCTTTTGCAGAAGGCAAAAATCAGATAATATTGAATTTAGTGTCTCTCTTGCACATTTCTCACATTCTCTCCCATTCATTGTTCAAAAGCGTCTCAGCGCATCCAGTAGCCCGCTTCTGCCAGGAACACATGTACACACTCCAGCAATTTCATAACTATTTAAATAAAAATCATCTTATACTACAGCGCTGGCAGCTCGCTACAGAGGAAGAAAAAAAAAACTATTTACAGGAGCTTCTTGTTTAAATGAGCTGCCAGAAACAGCCATGGAAGTGGTACAAGTATAGATCACCTATAATTAATAATACATCACAAATAATTGGTGATGCAGTAAAAAAAAAAGTAGCAGAAGTCCAGGGGGAATCTGAAGTACTGCTAACAGAGCAATACACTTTGTGATTCAGCAAAAAGGAATTAATGACTTCAAGCCTGAAATAGAAACGTGGTCAACTTGCATTAGACAAAGTTTGATCTTTCTTTTTGTATAATAGCAAAATGCTCTACCAATGCACAAGAACTTCTGTAATAAAATTTTGCTATGTGATTCAGCAGAGAAACTAAAGTTTAAAACTTTCATGAATATTATGGAAATTTTTATACATTATTTTACAATTAAATTCCTAGTCAATGCCACATCTCTATTCACAGAAGCAGTTTTATTTAACTCAAAAGATCTCATGATCATGGCTGTATAACCAATGGAAACCAGAGACAGCTGCTTGCCCTGTACATTGGAACACGGCCCCTTTATTTTTACATACTATGATGACACAAAAAGAATGGAACCTAGCTTGATATGAGTAAACCATTTCCCTTGTGTTTCTATGTACAATAGATTACCTGAAGCATCAGAATGACCACTTTAATTTTCTTATTCATAGTTTTTTGAAAATTCATAACTCTATTACTATATTAAGCAACATTTTCCATTTGGCCTTTCCAGAAGATGCATAATAGAAATTGTTTACTAAATGATGCTGCACATCATTATGTCTTTCATTAAACTGTACTAAAGGGAAGAGGGAACCTTTCTCTATTATTGATTCTCATGGTCAGTCTAGCATGAAATTTTTGATGTAGTTTGTATGAGGATTAAAAAGTTGAGCATGAAAATGTATTATTGATCATGCGCTGCAAAGTACAGTATACTGCTCATCCAACTCATATATTATTGATTGTTGAGTGTTACAGTTCTAACCTTTTGCACATCCTCTCCAAGGTAGCTTTTGCGTGTGGATGCCAAGGTACTATGCTTAGAGACTGCACTTTCCATGGAGTTTAAAGAATTCATGGAGCAGCTATCAGTTGTTTAAAATGCTTTGTTGGTAATCAAAGCTAGAGCAGCTCATGTTAATGTTACGTGGAGGATGCATCTGGGGGAGCACCCAACCCACATCAGCCAACTTCATAACTGGTTGGGCAAACAGGTGTCAAACATGGATCTGCAATTATCAGTTTGAGACCTAAGAAAAAAAACAAAATTTGCCTGAGATTTTGCCTCTGTTATGCCTGCCACGAGACTAAAACATTAAGTGGATTTATTGCTCGGGAAGTATTACTAACAGTCAGCACCCTGATGGCCTGAGCATGTTGTTCACCAGCATTTTGTTAGAGCTGAAATTAGATGTACAACTTGCACAAATGAGGCCAGATCCTGTGGCTTTCCCCAATTGCTGGGCTCTTAAACCTTGGATGTTTTTCTTCTGAGCCATGGCCAGATTTTGCACACTCCATTCATCATCTCATTCAAAGATATATTTAATGCAT